GAGAGAGAGCACGGAAGTGTGTGAGAGAGAGAGAGAGAGAGAAACGCACGGGAAAGAAAAACACGGGAAAGAAAAAGAAAGGAAAAAGAAAAAGAAAAGAAAAGAAAAGAAAAATAAAAGAAAGTGACATGTGTAAAATATAACAGTGCAGAAATGCGCCCATACACACTTCTGGATTAAATAAATTACTGTGAATAATTTAAATACCTTGGAATTATTTAAACTCAATTAATTAAATCAGATTAGGCACATTAATAATCTCAATTACCTTAATTAATCTCAATTAATTCTTCAGGGTGTTACATGTGTAAATCTTCATTTCACTGCCTCTGATTTATTCAATCATTGTTCTATCTTTTTTTATTTCATCCAGTTTTTTTCTTGCCAGATTTTTTCATTTCCGCCGTTGCTTGCCTACCGCATGTATCTAAATCCTGATTCTTTGGCGTTTAATTTATTAAATTGTTGAGCTGTGGTGTTTCTATTGCTCATTTGTATTGCCAGCACATAATTTGTACATAATTTGCAGCAAATGTATTAAATGCGTACGTCAGTCTTCCTTCTTTGACTGTCTAAAATAGGTTGAAATCTTACGGAGAAAAAATTTTCCTTATTTTTCATCATTTTTCCTTCGTTTTGTTTAATTCTTTCTCTCTATTATATAATTATTGTTGCATGTATGTTGCATTTTTCTTTTTACCTTCTTTTATTCTAAATACAATATTGTTTTTATTATCAGTTAATATAGAAGTTTTTAGTTCCTTAGCTTTTGTTAACCGACAATGCTTTACCAGGTGTTATGTGATTAGAGGCTATTTACTGTTGATTTTATCTTTTTCATTCTTTACTTTTATGTGTTGTTGTTCTACATCAATTTGTTACTGGTATTCTTGCTTTTTTTCCTTACCCTTGACGTTTCTCCCCTTCTATCTCACGTATGCTTATTTACTACTTTAGTTAGTTGTTGATCCTTTACTGCTATGTTTTTTCACTTGACACTTTGCCCTTTGTATCTTACTTTTTCTCCTTTATTGCCTGAGCCTGTTGTGGATCATTTAGTGCTTTATTTTTTCACCCTTCTAGCTTTTACTACTTGTGTTGGCCCCTGATTGATTCATATCTCATACTAAGAGCAACATTACAACGCTTCAGGTATTCCTAATAGCTTTTACCTATAATCTTTTAATATTTTTAATGGTGTTCAGAATATTACCTTCCTATCTTGCTATTAATCTGCTGGCTTTATTTTGTTGTTTCTGTTGATGTATAACCTTATCAGTTTATGAATGAACATTGCTGCTCTAAAAATTTGGTCAAAAATTCCCCTTTATAGCAAATAAACAAAGATGCCCTTTTATTGTTAATCCATGTTATTGACATATCGTTATTCCTTTCTTTTGCTTCTCTGTCTACAACCGCCGTATGGTTCTTAGTTATTAGATACAAAATTCTTCATTTTTTGGTCATATTTTAACCTCACATATTTTATTTTTACTTGCTCCTTTTTATATGCTCTCTTCCTCCCTTTTTTTGTCCCTTTAATGATGATGATGAGCATAAATAATTTTAATCCATTGAGTGTTGTATGATTTGTCTAAAAATTACCGTGAGGCTACTTTTTTCATTTGGATTCCAGATTTATCTTCCTCTTGCTTAGTTTACTACTTCTGCGTTTTTATTTCTTATTTATTGATGCTCATACTCTATATCAATTTCTGATCTGTATTTCTCACCTTTTCTCTTGCGCTTGACGTTTTTCTTCTTCTATCTCACTTGTGATCATTTACTGCTTGAGTCCATTCCCAACCATTTAGTCTTCTACTTTTGTACTGCTCTATTTTTTACCACCCCTGTTCACCTATAATTGGTTGCTATCCCATGCTTGCACCAGTGTTACAGTGCTCCAGATATTCTTAATAACTTCCATTAATGCCTTTTAAATGCGTCTTGCTCATATATATAATGTTGCTGTGCTGTTATTAATGTCTCAATTTTATTTTATTATTTTTGTTCCAACGTGATTTTGCTGTTATTAATGTCTCGATTTTGTTTTATTATTTTTGTTCCAACGTGATTTTGCTGTTCTATAAATGCATCTTACCGGTTTATAGGATTAGTGAGCATTTCTTTTCACAGTTAATAAATGTTGCTAATCTTTGTCTAACCATAGTATTCATGATTGTTCTATTGATAAATCTTGCAATTTGTTGCTTTTCATGAGCAAGATAATTACACTAATATGTTTATCTCATATCCTTTAG